GAGAAAGGAAAAAATGAAATTGCATCATATGACCCCTTTAAGGTTTCTTGGCTGTCATTTTGTCAACTCGAAGTTTCAGCTCCCTCCACAGATTTTCTCTAGGATTGAGGTCTGGAGACTGGCTAGGCCACTCCATGACCTTAATGTGCTTCTTCTTGAGCCACTCCTTTGTTGCCCATTGTCATGCTGGAAGACCCATCCATGATCCATCTTCAGTGTTCTAGCTGAGGTTCTCGTCCAAGATTTTACAGTACAGTCACCAAGCAAAACATTGGTAACACACTACGTCGCAATGGACTGAACTCCTGCAGCGCCCGCAAGGTCCCACTGCTCAAGAAGGCACATGTACAGGCCCGTTTAAAGTTTGCCAATGAAATGAATCTAAATGATTCAGAGAAGGCTTGGGAGAAAGTGCTGTGGCCAGATGAGACCAAAATTGAGCTCTTTGGCATTAACTCGACTCGCCGTGTTTGGAGGGAGAGAAATGACACCAAAAACACCATCCCTACAGTCAAGCACGAAGGTGGAAACATTATGCTTTGAGGCTGTTTTTCTGCTAAGGGTACAGGACGACTTCACCGTGTTGAGGGGCACATGGACAGGGCCATGTGGTCCCAACTGCCTTAAAATCATTAACAAGCTCCTCCCATGTAGTTCTGGGCTGATCCCTCAGCTTTCTCATGATCATCCTTACCCCATGAGGCGAGATCTTGCACGGAGCTCCAGACCAAGTCAGATTGATGGTTGTTTTGTATTTCTTCCATTTCTGAATAATCACACCAACAGTTGTCTGCTTCTCACCAAGCTTCTAATTTGTAATTTGTAATTTACAATACAAATATTTCCCCCGCTGTACCTACACCAGAAATTGAAACTGCGTGCGCACGCGAAAGTTTCTCATGAGCACACGATAGTTTCTCGAGAGGACGCAAAACATTTCTCATGCGCACGTTAAAGTTTCTCATAAGCACACGATAGTTTCTTGTGAGGACACAAAACGTTTCTCGTGCGCACGTTAAAGTTTCTCATGAGCACACAATAGTTTCTTGTGAGGACACAAAACGTTTCTCATGCGCACGTTAAAGTTTCTCATGAGCACACGATAGTTTCTTGTGAGGACGCAAAACGTTTCTCGTGCGCACGTTAAAGTTTCTCATGAGCACACGATAGTTTCTTGTGAGGACGCAAAACGTTTCTCGTGCGCACGTGAAAGTTTCTCGTGCGCATGCGATAGTCTGTGTATTTTATTTTTTTTGCAAAGGTCCCTTTAGGGGCTCCGTACTTTTGCTTTCATTTATATTTTGCAATTATTTTTGTTTGCAAAACTTCTTTTTCTCGCAATACTTCATTTTCTTTTGCAATTCTTTATTTTTGTTTGCAAAAAGCACATTTATATTTTCTCAATCCTTTAATTTTCTTTTGCAAAACTTAGATTCTTAGAGCGAATATATGTGGCATCTAATTGACTCCATACTAAGGAGTTCAAAATATTGACAATAAACTCCCAAGATGTTTGTATCATAAACGAGGAAGAAACCTTGGTTGGGAGGAATATCCTCTCTCATGATACATTTTAGATACACGTATATTTATAATATTACATTATTTATAAATAAATAAATGAATAAACAATCGAAATGAATGAAACCTTTTTCCGCCTCGTCGATGACCGCACAGTTGCGCTCCAGGCCTGTAGGGGTAGGATCACTGCGCTCATAAGCGTCACTTCTTCTTCACGTGGTGCTCCTGCGCTTCTCTGACCTCTGCAGACTGAGTGCGGTCCTGAACGCCAAGGAAATGGCTCCCCCAGTGCAAGTGTCGCCGCTGATTAAGGTTTGTATTCACAAATCCATTATGCTGGATGTTTATGGCTGAGATTAAACGAAGAAATGCGTCTTTCCCTTATTTCCGTCGTGCTTCTCTCAGAACTCAGAGCGGACTGTGATGTGTTGACATGGCCTGCATGCTGAAAGTCAAGATATTTCCTTAATTTTCTCTTAATAAAACGGAACTATAGATATTAATGAGATTTATTTTGAGTGGTCACATTGATTTATGTTTTAAAGGTTCATTAACACATTTAAACTTACCAATTATAAAGTGCAAGCTTATGTAGGACTGAACTGCAGATATCAGTGTACTTCATTTTTTGAGAAATTAAATGAAAGAAAATTGTTGGTAAAAATATGGAAGATTGTTTCCACTATGGAATAAAAAGTAAAAACAAAATGGTGCAACTTTATATCTCACAATTTTAACTTTTTTTTCCCTCTTACAATTCTGACTTTTTTTTTCTCTCTGAATTGTGAGATACAGCCTCAGAATTGTAAGAAAAGCCCGAAATGTGAGAAGAATTATTATAATTTTTTTCCATGGCTGGAAAAAATAACAGTATCAAGATGTAAACTCAGAATTCCAAGGAAAAAAGTAATCTGCAATTACCTTTTTTTTCTTTTTCTTTTTCTTTTTTATTCCATCGTGGAAACAAAGTTCCAACCAAAAATGCTGCTGCATCTGCCGAAAGTTTCAAAAAATGTTTATATACTTAATAAAGACCTTGCATTTTAGTTAAAAGCTTTTTCTTCATTCTCCAGATAATCTGAAACCAATTGCAGAGGAGGAGAGGAGAATAGAAGAGGAGGAGAAGAAGGGACAGCCAGATGGTCTGCATTGATCGTTGGTATTATCTACGGAAAGCGCAGATATGGTAAGAGCCAGCAAGTTGATCTGAAACATTGTGACTAGCGTTCAAATGACATTCTGTGGACATATATATATATATATATATATATATATATATATATATATATATATATAATGTTTATATACTTAATAAAGACCTTGCATTTTAGTTAAAAGCTTTTTCTTCATTCTCCAGATAATCTGAAACCAATTGCAGAGGAGGAGAGGAGAATAGAAGAGGAGGAGAAGAAGGTACGAGAGGAGAAGGAACGCATTGCTAAACAGCTAGCAGAAGGTGAGGTTTTCTCTTGACATTTAAATAGTGTGATTCTTCTGCAGATTGATCAGATTGATTGTTTTTATCCAACAGCTAATGAGGACACAATCTTGAAGTGAGCTGCCCAAAATGACGCCTGTATCGTTTCCGTTGTAAAGATCGTGTTACCTGTCTGGATAAAGAATAATGCTTGTATTCTGCCACTTTGGTTTTACAGTGCCCTTTGTTTTCTAAACACTGTTTTCTAATAGATCATGTCAGATTAATGCCTCATTTTGTGAAATAATAACTGAATACATGCAAATATATGTGTATACATTTCCTCTGATCTGACACTGTTTCTTCTTTCATTGAAGAACCTCTGATTATAATGTAAAGCATGCAATGTAATGTTAAATATACACTGAATCAGAGTTCCACTTTGGTAAACATCCACACCAATATTTATTAATAAACTGTTAATCCTGATTTCTTTTGTCATTTTGATATTTAAAAATCATTTGAATGTCCAGGTAGTTCAAAGTCTTGACAGCTGCATTAAATATTACATTTTTACGGAAATACTGTAAATAAAACAGAGTTGTTGTCCAAAAATTCATCATCCAGTCCATTCAATCTATTTTTACCTCCAGTATATCCATGGATGGTCTTGTATGCATGTTGAATACAATTATGGCAAACATAGGCTGCGTAGACTTAAAACAGTTGTGTTTTCAAGGTAAATTATTGCGGCATCAGATAAACAGTCCGAAATTACATATAAAAAAAAATTAACTGTGTTCGGACAATTTACATGTTGGTCAAACCAATGTCATGCTGTCCTAGTGAGCTTTTTTTGTTGTTGATCAAAATAAGATACAAAGTGAACTATATTGTATGTGGAAAGTCATAAGTCGGTCTAATCAAGACTACCGGTTCTCCGAATATTTCTCAGTCAAAGTCTTGACAGCTGCATTAAATATTACATTTTTACAGAAATACTGTAAATAAAACTTAAAAGTTGTTGTCCAAAAATTCATCATCCAGTCCATTCAATCTATTTTTACCTCCAATATATCCATGGATGGTCTTGTATGCATGTTGAATACAATTATGGCAAACATAGGCTGCGTAGACTTAAAACAGTTGTGTTTTCAAGGTAAATTATTGCGGCATCAGATAAACAGTCCGAAATTACATATAAAAAAAAATTAACTGTGTTCGGACAATTTACATGTTGGTCAAACCAATGTCATGCTGTCCTAGTGAGCTTTTTTTGTTGTTGATCAAAATAAGATACAAAGTGAACTATATTGTATGTGGAAAGTCATAAGTCGGTCTAATCAAGACTACCGGTTCTCCGAATATTTCTCAGTGACAGAATATTCTCCATTTCTTCCCCAGTAATCCACGGCTCTTACTCTATAGTATCCGCTCACCTCCGGACTCTCTGTGGAGAGAAAAACACCAGCAGGTCAATGTATGGATCAGTGCTTGAAGTTAAATATTCTGAATGTAGCCAAAAATTAAAATAATACCTGGAGAATAAGTGAAGTATGTGAAAATAGTCTCTCTCTGATTAATCCTCTGGAAAGTCGTCTCATCTTTGGAAAATTCCACTTCGTATGTCTTTATACACCTAAAAAATGGTATGTTAGTTATGTTTAGAACTCTTAAATGAAGAATTAATTTAATTGCTGCATTTAATCAGGTATTACTTTGTTGCGATGCAGTGATCCTTCCAAATGATCAGAACCTGTCCTTTGGTGATGGTGATGAAACGCACCCCGTTTACCTGCGGAATGATAACTGCGATATTAAAACCAAACCACAGAGTTTCTCAATCTTTGCAGAAAATAACATGCACCTGGAATGCAGAAGTTTTGCAATGACTGTCAAATTAATTTCATGCACAGACACAAATAGATTTTTTTGGGCGTAGAGGAACAGCAGATGCCATGAATTCACCCCATATCATGAATGAATGAATTAATCATTACGGATACTGAACTCAAGGGTTGTGTCCAAATCCTGAAAACCTGTGCCTTACTACGCTTTGTGAGGTTCATGCTGGGATGCCTTTAGACAGTAGCTCACATACAGTATCTCACAGAAGTGAGTACACCCCTCACAATTTTGTAAATATTTTTTTATATCTTTTCATGTGACAACACTGAAGAAATTACACTTTGCTACAAAGTAGTGAGTGTACAGCTTGTATAACAGTGTAAATTTGCTGTCCCCTCAAAATAACTCGACACACAGCCATTAATGTCTAAACCGCTGGCCACAAAAGTGAGTACACCCCTAAGTGAAAATGTCCAAATTGGGCCCAAAGTGTCAATATTTTGTGTGGCCACCATTATTTTCCAACACTGCCTTAACCCTCTTGGGCATGGAGTTCACCAGAGCTTCACAGGTTGCCACTGGAGCCAGTCTGGTTAGAGACCTTGCGCTCCTCCACCTTCCGTTTGA